TAAAATCTGCTAAAGGTGGTAATTCGAAAGGCCAATATAATAAAGGCCAATATAATGTCGGTGTCTGCTATGACGAGGCATAGGCACAACTAAGGATATAGAAAAGGCATTTGAGTAGTATTTGAAATCTGCTGAAGGTGGCGATCCAAGAGGACAATTTAATGTCGGAGTCTGCTTTGGGGATGTCATAGGCACAGCTAAGGATAAAAAAAGGCATTTGAATGGTATTTAAAATCAGCTGAAGGCGGACATTCGATGGGACAATTTAATGTCGGAAGCTGCTATGGCAAAGGCATGGGCACAAGTAAGGATCAAAAAAAGGCATTTGAGTGGTATTTAAAATCTGCAGAAAATGGTAATTCTAGTGGACAATATAAAGTTGGATTATGTTATCGAAATGGATATGGAACATCACCTAATCAGGAAAAACTATGGAATGGTTGTAAAAAACGAAAAGTAATAATTTCAAAATGAGGTTGATTATGAAAATTTTAATGATTCTCTAAAAAACTTACTACTCGATAATAATTTATTAATATCGTGGATTCCATTTGATGAATTAGAATTTATTGAAAAAATTGGAAAGGTGGTTGCGCTTAAAATATTTCATGGATCAAAAAATACCTTCAAGGAACTTATAAAAGAGGTAAATATTTGTCAATATTAGATAATTCAAGTTTATAATTTAGTAATCATTACTGAGTTATTAATATTTATAAAGTTAATCGCATATTCAAATATTGGATCTAAAAACCTCACATTTTTACAATGTCATGGAATATCAAAAGATGAAGGCACAGATGATTATATTTTAGTCATGCAATATGCAAAAATGGGATCTTTACGCAAGAATCTAATAAAGTTGCGCAAATTAAATGGAGGAAAAAATTAGAATTACTATCTTATATCGCATCCGATCCTAAATTAATTCATTCGAATAACATTATTCACTGTGGTAATATATTTCAAGATGATTTATATAATGCTTATATCGTTGATTTAGGATTAGCAATAAAACATTAGACAAAAAATCAGGTGGAACTTACGGTGCTTTGCTGTATATGGCACTGGAAGTTTACAACGAAAATCATTCACCAAAGCATCAGATATTTATTCTTTTGGAATGATTATGTGGGAGATTTCTTCAGGAAATGTTGTATTTTCTGACTATAAAGATGATGATTTAAGATTGGCATTAGGAATTTGTGAAGGGTTAAGGCCAACTATTATTAAAGACACAACACCATGTTATGTAAATCTTTTAAAAAAGTGCTGGGATAAAGATCCAGAAAAAAGACCATCAGCTATAGAAATCCATGAAATTATTTTAAATTGGAAAAACAGTACTGAAATTTTGGCTGAATTTTCAAAATCTGATATGAATTATGACTTTAATCATTTGTTGGATTGGTTGTCGGCTGCTTTTGCTGAATTTAGTACGATACATATATGTTGACCAGCAGTTACCTGAATGCTTAACTGCAGATAGAACTAGTTCCAATGATAATATTTGTATCGAAAATATTGTAAAATATATGGAAGTAACCAATCATACTAATGTATTCGAGTAAGGACTGTTATAACAAGAGTTTACGTCACTCGATCTCGGAGACATGACGACAATGAGAGCACGTGAGCAAAACCATCGATAAACACCCTGCGGCCATACAAGTTCTAATTGGTCTCTAAAACATCTATCATATCTATTTTATTCCTATTATATTTTATTTTATTTACCTTTGCTTTATTAGTTTTATAGCTTATTCATTTATTTCTTTTATTCATTATATATCTTATGCATTATCCCAAGCGTATAGAATCAGTATTAGCTTCGAAGATCTATAGTTACTAAATTGTATATATAACCCCAATATCCTATTTCGAATCGGTGTGCCCGCACTCAATAATTAATCAATAAAAAGAGTAGTCGTGTCTTCATACACGAGCAACTTGAAGCTTTATTAAGTACGTCAATTTGTATCTTCATTTACATTTAGTCGTTTGTCTCCTTCGTAATTGCAAATCACCATAAAAACCTCTTTGATGCTAATAGTAATTTATTAGCATTACACGTATCTATGTACAAGAACGTGAGGCATTCAATTATTATTGCCGCTAGTTAAACCACACTTATAAAAGAAATAGTTTGGTGTAACAGGGCCCTCCAAAAAAGAATAAAAAAATGGTGTGCAATATATAGGCGAGACCAACTTGACTCCGTGCTTTACATTACCCCTCTCCCCTCCAGAAGGGGGGGTGGATTTGTGGTTTACATAGTAAAATTTTAAATAATTTTTTTCAAAAAAAAATTTTTCTGAATTGTTCCGTGACTATATAAAAATTTTCCGTAATCCTATATATATTTGTCTAAATTTTTTACTATGAGGGAGGGGTAATGTAAAACACAGAATCAAGTTGGTCTCGCCTTTTCGCTTGTCACTTTCATTTGCCGATCTTGGGTGGGTATTTGTGCCTCTTGTCTTCTGTTTTCCTGGTTTTGAAACATGTTAAACTCATATCCATTTTCTTTCCAGTGGTTTCACTTGTCTCTTTCGTTCGACGGTCTTGGAACATTGAAACACGTTAAACTAATGTCCATGTCACCTTTCTGGTGGTTTCACTTGTCATTTTCATTTGCTGGTTTTAGGTGGCATTTTTATGCTTCTTGTTTTCTGTTTTCCTGATATTTAAACACATTAAATTACTGCCCATTTCTCTTTTCTGGTAGTTCTCGCTTGTCGCTTTTATTTGTCAGTCTTGGGTGGGTATTTATCGTATTTCTTGTTTTCTGTTTTCCTAATTTTGAAACACACTCAACTAATGCCATTTTTCATTCTCAGTGATTTTCTCTTTTCCTTTTCGTTTACCAGTCTTATATATTTAACGTGTTTCTTGTTTTCTGGTTTCCTAGATTTGAACTAAACCCTTTTTTTTACCGGTAATTCTCTTGTCTACTTCGTCTAGCAATCATGGGTGGATATTATTATGCATATTATTTTTGTTTTGTTAGTTTTGAACACATTCAACCAATGCTTATTTGGTGGTTTTCACTTGTTAACTTCATTAACTTTGTCATGTTTATTACATTGTTAGTGGCTTTGCAAGTAGCATGATTCTGCGACTTTGTCGTTCAGTTAAGATTGGTTAGGGTGTCTGATTTATTATAGGTGCGAATTGGTTAGGGTTAGACTAGGTGAGTTTGAATTGGTAGGTTCAAATTGGTGGGTTTAAATTGGTGGGTTTGAATTGAATAGTGTTAATGTTAGAATAGGTGGGTTCGAATTGGTAATTAAGATGTAGAATGTAATTCAACACTTGTTGCTTTGCGTGATTAGGGCTTTGGAGCCAAAACATAAAAGTGCATTTTATATGATCGTTTGTAATAATCTGTTATGCAACGTTTTGCTTTACTACATGATAATTACATTGTTTTTATTTGGTCACTTGATTAGGGGTGCTCCGTAACTATTCCATGAACAGGTAGATTAGTCATGTCAAAAAAAATTGTCGGTGACGTGATATACAAGCCACTCTGACTATATTTCTGTATTCGGGCTATAAATTTTATATTTATATTTCGGAATCCAAAAAATTTTTATAAAAAATTCATAACTTTTTAGATTCCGAATATAAAAATATAGCCTGGGTGGCTTGTATATCACGTCACCGACAATTTTTTTTGACATGACTAGTCTACCTTCCAAGAACACCTCCAAAAATTTTGCGAAAATTATACGTTTAAAAGGTTGTTAACATTGGGGTTAGCATTATATTAGTGTTCATTGTTGATGTAATATATAGTAAAATCGCTCAAGGAAAACTTCTTGTTAGAACACTAAGGATAGTTTTCTATGAGATTTTTGAGTTATGGGCGATTTTTGGCAAAAAGAATGGGTGTTTTTAATTTTTTCGGATCGTGTTATGTTAGGGTTGTGCCTAGGGTGGGGAACGGGTAGCCCGTTGGGCCCGTACGGGCTTTTTTTGGAAATTAATTTGGGTCATCCCCAAAAATTCTAGTCACATGATAAATCATCATGTAACTAGTGTTTTAACGAAATGGCCCAAATTAATTTCCAAAAAAAGCCCGTATGGGCCCAACGGGCTACCCGTTCCCCACCCTAGTTGCGCCTCGATTAATAAATCAAAACATAATTAGGGTAACATATGAAGATCATTAATTTTGGATTTTTTATGGTCCTATATTTAAATATCAAACTAAATTTATATTTTTGACACAAGTATCTAACGAAAGTGTATATAATTTTTTTTTTTCTAATTTGAAGCTCGCTCTACATGGTAATAGAGCTACTTTTTTAAATAATTTTTTTTTAAAAAAATTGTAACTATTAATTAAATAATTTTGTAAAAAAAAATTGTAACCATTAATTAAATAATTAATGTGGAGAATTATGCTAAAAATTTGGGGTCTCTTTTTAAATCTATAATACCTACTAAAATCCATATACTCTTTTATTAATAATACTATCCCCTAACCCTAACCCAACTATAAAAAAAAAAGACCACAAAAAAGGCCCTACAATTTTATAATAAAATACGGCAAATTTTCAGCATAATCCACCACAATTAATAATCAATATTTATATCATAATTGAATGATTTTGATAAACTGTTTAAAAAGGTAGATCTATTACCATGTAGAGTTAGTTTGAGAGCTTCAAATTAAGAAAAAATTTAAGCTCTTTTGTTAGTTACTTGTGCTAAAAAAATATAAATTTAGTTCTATAATTATTTTTATAATTGTATAATCGTCGAAAAAATTGATCCGAAATTAATGATCTTCATATGTTTGATTTATTAGTTGAGGCACAACCCTAGTGTTACGTTACACCCGATCTTCAACTGTGATTGGCTCGTGGTCACATTTTGCAGAATTTTTGGATGTGTAGTCTTGGGGTAGTTGTATACCGTGGTGGTACAATTGCAAAACCCTTAAAAATTCGTACTATAAAACTTTTACTTAAAGGCCGTCATAGCGAAATTTACGTTATTTTGATTCCGATGTAGATCGGAAGTGATCCTCGGCCCGGAATTTGCTTGACATAAGGACACCCTAAGAGTACCAGTCATAGATTTCGTCAATCGTCAATTAATCACTTAAAAATGGCCTGACGAAAAGGTTTCGTCATTCGTTGATAATAAAAGTTTCGTCCTTTGTCAATCATCATTAGTTTATAGCGGTGATTTAGGATTTGCAACATCGATTAATAAGAAATTAAATAAAAAATCAGTTTAAATGCAAACTTACGAATCACATAGTTACGTTTTATATTAAAAAATATGCAAAACCGGTTTACAAAATAAAATACAATAGTTATTTGGCCGTAACTATACTAGTGATATAAATGATGGAATTAACTTAATTGGACATATTAATTTGACCCATAACACGTATAACCAACACGCCGAGCGGGTCAATCCGTAAGAGTCGATTGACTTGTGTAAGAGATCTAAAATAAAATCCGACAAGGTCAAAATCCTAACAAATTAGGTTGTAGTTCAGTCAGTTGTTGTCAGGATTTTGACCCAAGCCTATAAAAAATATATACGTATGTTATAAATTATACAAGCTTATACTTTATTATACAATCTTAAAAAAATACAAATTTAAATAAAAATAATCTCTATTAACAATATAATTGTTATGCGCGGCAACACTGCATTACCTAAATAAGGAGTCAAAAAATTTTTTTTTAGACTAAGCATTTATCAAATTTATCAATTGGAAATATTTATAGAGGAAATTTCAGGCAATTAATTAATTGTTCGACAATCTTCAAACCTAACTACAGCAATTAATTAATTGTTTAACAACATATCCAAACTATACTTCAAGCAAACTAATTAATTATTTGACAAACTCTAACGTCTACTTCGTTTTGTTGGTTTCATTAGCCAACACTTTCCTTCGACAATGTCAGCACAAGCAATTCTTGGCGCAGGAACACCGGGAGCTATTAAAAAAATTTTACAATTTAGCAATTATTTTTAGTAATATATATTTAATATTTTTATGAAATGAATATCATACGAGTATAAGTGTCGTGAATAACGATGGAATGACCAATAATCCCAGTTTTGTTATCTTTCAAAGAAATGAAATCATCAAAATACTTCACAGAAACAGCGCCATTTGGTGTTCCTTGAAGCGCACCATGTTTACCTATTCGATGAATATCATTTATGAATTAATAAATTTTTTTTTTTACTCAAAAAAATATTGGTTTTTTAAAATAACTTACCACTTAAATCGCCAGCTTCACATTTTTCAGGTGTTGTGGAATTGCATACGTATCCTGGAACTGCAGCACCTATTGAAAACAAATTAAATTAAGATTTTGCTCTATCGCAATAGAATATAAATATATATATTCATATAAAATTTATTTAGTTACCAGTAGGATCAAAGTGACCTCCTGTTGAATCACAAGAGCCAGTAGAATTTATTGGAGATACGTGGATATGATAAGGATACTTTCCGGAAGTATTGGTCAAGCCGTTAGTCATATCAATATCAACTTCGATTTTGGAATCTTCATTAGTAAAGACCATGATTCCTTTAATTCCCTTGTGTTCTCCTCTGAAACAGGCTGAAGCTATTTCTTGACATTGTGCAGTATTTAGGATATAAAGGCTAATGAGAACGAGCAAAATGAATTTCATTATGTCAAGGTTTGATTATGTTTATTGAGAAAAAAAATTTAATGAAGAAAAATTACAAATTTTCTGCTGTTTAAATAAGACTTAAAATCATCGCGTATTTTTAGAGTTGTTTGTTGCATAATCAGTAGATCATCTGTACACATAAACAAAGGATCATATGGTTACATATTATTTGCAGTTAGTTACCACAGTACAGTTAAATTTTCCTAAATGCAACGATTCAACTGCACACTCTGTGGAAAGCTTAACCTTCTGAATGTAGGCTCTATGGTAGGTTAGCCTTCTGAATGTAGGCTCTATGGTAGGTTAACCTTCTGAATGTATGCTCTATAAAAAGCTTAACCTTCTGAATGTACGCTCTATAAAAAGCTTAACCTTCTGAATGTACGCTCTATAAAAAGCTTAACCTTCTGAATGTACGCTCTATGAAAGCTTAACCTTCTAAAAGCACGCCTTCACTTAAATTCTATTAATATAACGCTTATAGATTTTACCTCTCTAAATGCAATATGCACATTTAATTTTTTTTAAATATAGTCTCAAGTGTATTTAGGGCACCTACCCATATTAATTAAAAATGGTACCTGATATTTAACAAGATCTCGCAAAATTAGCGCTAACAGAATCTATTTAAAATACTGTAGTACTATAATGTTATAAAGTTGATTGATTAAATGCATGTCGCAGATCGTAATGAAGTCAAAATAATGAAGGCCTTTTAAACCTCTAAAACCATTGTTACGGGATATTTAAGATCTGCGTTACAAAATTTAACCTTAAACCATAATCATTAGGGTATCGGTATTAGATATTCAAGAAAGTGGTTTGTGATAATGGGAGAGTAATTTTATCAAAT